CGAAAAATTTTGAAAATCTGACCTTAGATTCTGAACGAGAAGATCTTTTGACATAAGAAGAAATTGACTTGTTATTGGTTTTTCAATATTTTTTACGTTTCTCTTAATAAAAAAAAATCTTTTGATATATACGTGTCCCTAATGGGTTTTCAGATATAGAAAAAAATCACAAATAAAAATTTCAAAATGCGATATCTCGGCGAAAAAGAAAAAGATATTTGGGCAAAATTAACAGCATTTGAAAGAGGAAGACTTGTACTATAAGATCTCTCACATGTTTTTTTTTGCACTTTTGGGTTAAAATATCTCAAATATATGACATTATTTTTGAGCATGATTGATGAACATGATTTCTGAGCCCGGATTTGTTTTCAGCGGGAAAAATTACTTCGGAAATAATTACACAGGCACACAAAAAAAAAGTCCTGATACAGAAAGGAGAAGTACCTTCTGGTACGTTTTTCGGTGTGCTAAAAACGAATCTCAGGTCAGAACTGACCCATCACCCTTAGATTTCGCCCCAGCGCACCCTAGCACCCTCCCAAATGGTTAAATGTTCACATCATATAAAAATTCAAAATAAATATCTCATTCTACGTTTTTCGGTGTTCGAAGAACGATTCTGAGGTCATGATTTACCCATCACCCTTAGATTTCGCTCCAGCATCCCCCAAAGGGTCAAAATTTTACGTCATATAAAAAGGGAAATTTTGATAAAAAAAAGGGGAAAATTGTTGTTCATATAAAAATTCAAAGTAAATATCTCATTCTACGTTTTTCGATGTGCTAAGAACAAATCTGAGATCATAATTTACTCATGCCCCTAAGGTTACACCCCAGCTACCCCAAGAACCTCCCCCCCCCCAAGGATCAAAATTTTACATTATATAAAAATTCAAAATAAATAAGTCGTTCTACTTTTTTTGGGGTACTGAAACCGAATATGGCAAATAAAAAGTAGTTTTAATCTCCCCCGGCAACGCGGAAAACCCCTTCATCCCCCGCGGTTTTAAAATTTCACTGTATTAATATCTCACTGTATTTTAGCACCTGTATGAAAAGAAAAAAAACTACCACGGGACACAAACCTATCGTCACCTAAGGTACCTGTGTTAAAATTGAATACGGTGAATTTTTTTTTAATTAACCCATCATCCTTGAATTTTCGGCAAAACACTCAAACGTTACAGTTGGTCTAAATTAGGATTATGGGAAGCATCATAATGAAATTATATAATTTGCCTTGCTATGGCTACTGATAAATTTCGTCCGTTTAGAAGAGTTTCCAGCAGTGTGAATTGATCTTACGGATATGCTGGCTTAGTGAAGGCCGCTTGTATGATATATGAAAAATCCTGGGTTCTTGATAATCCTCTTGACATCCACGAATTTCGCCTGTCCAGACCTGTACCTTGGGAAAATTTACGGTTTTGCTATTTGCGCTTCTATGAACTCGAAATTCTTCTATTAACTGAAAATTTCACCCATGTTAATTAAAAAAAAATAAAATTTTTATGATTTTGGAAATATTTCGGGTATCTGGATAGCTAGACTACGACAAAATTAGAACTTCAGTACTTTGTATATCAGGCTCTAAGTCTTTCTTGAAGGGCAGATCCTTGGGAAGATGTTTCGCATAGCTTGGGGTCAAGAGGTTAATAAAGCAAAATTCACACTGCTGGAAACTCTTCTAGACGGGCGAAATCTAAGGGTCATGGGTAAATCATAACCCCAGATTCGTTCTTAGCACACCGAAAAACGTAGAATGAGACATTTATTTTGAATTTTTATATAAACTAACATTTTCACTTTTTGGTGGGGTCTGGGGGGGTGCTGGGGCGAAATCTAAGGGAGATGACCTCAGATTCGTTCCTAGCACACCGAAAAAAATGAGATATTTGAATTTTTATGTGATATGAAAACTTGACCATTTTGGGGGTTTTTTGGGGTTTCCGGGCGAAATCTAAGGGTGATGGGTAAATTATGACCTCAGATTCGTTCCTAGCACACCGAAAAACGTCCAGAATGAGTTATTTCATTTTGCAGGGTACTGCATTGATGATTTTCACCGTGAGCGACTGTATCATGAAATGAGGCGGTAACTTTCTGAAAGCAAAAATCTTCTTTACGAGCTCTCTTACCAGATAAATCAAGACCAAATTTAATTAATAATTAACCTTTTCAACTAATCGCGTAAACGCCTGTCCTTGTCGGCAAATTTGAAAGCCAACGCTTACTTGACGGACCACCAAATCAAAAAAAATACTCGTAGACTACGCGACGCCTCTTAATAAATTTCTCGTACGAAAACCATGAATCAAATTTGTACTTCCAAAGTCAGCGAGGATTAAACGGCGACGATTAGCCAACTAATTACGAATAAACGTTGGCAAGAGAGATGAAAGATTTCTTTCCTTTGATGATACTCGACGAGTCGACGAAAGTCGTATCGAAATTTAATTAGATGGTCGGTACCATTAGCTTTATTTGTGGGGAAATA